GCTCACCATAGTTCTTGTAACCATCAGCGATGACAGCTGCGACTACGCGCAAAGCGGATCGCGAGCTAGTGACTAATAGCACCTTAACACGTTGACGACAGTGCGAGTTCAGGTGTGGCCAAGTGAGACCGACGCAATTACGAAACCGCATTTGTCATGATATACATATCCCGCCCACGATCCAACAAGGTCCGTTTTTGGAAGCTCGAACGTTGTATTTCGGGGGTGCCACTTATGATATCTAAGCAAAGTGGCAATATCTAATCGAAGTGGAGTTGCGGAAGGGAGGCAATATAGGGTTGACCCATAATTTCTGGCCAAATTTCAACACTTTGATTTCTTCAAGTTTTATCCTTCCTTGAAAACAACTGATCAGAAAAGTAACTACCATCATGATCACTGATAAGCATCCCTTTGCTAGGGAACGAATGGACGCAATCCTCCCAGAATGAATGGAGCTGTGGAATGAAAAGTTCGGAGAGGTCGTTTTTGGGGTGGTTGCATTTACTGATTCTTTTCTCCAAGCTGATGCTTCAGGGTGTTGGGGAGGTGATAGTACGCAATGTCAGGGCTATACGACAGATGTGGTGTCGCGGTCCAGCCAGTTTCCCTCGAAACGTGGCGAGTTATCTTTGCAATGTGATTTCGGGCGGTCCTCCGGATAAAGGAGATTTTAAGACTTTTCCAACCGTTCTCCCGCACTGCTGTAGCCAACTTCGGGAGCTATCCCATGGTCACCTTCGCAATGCTTGTCTGCATAGAGTGAAATGGTTCCTAAAATAGGATACCCAACGAATCCAACGAACTGGGGGTAATACCCTCTGATGAGAGAGCTCATGCTTTGGTCGAGAGGTGAGTCTAGGCTGCGAGGGAGCCACAAGGGGCGACGTGTTTTATTATCGCGGTGGACTCAAGACTCATCTGCACTAGTGACCAACTAGGAAATGTCGTGTCTATATGGTCAAAGAATGAAACTTCTGCAGATGGTCAGGCGTGCCTCTGGGTCATGGTCAGTCGATGTCTGCTGCTTTCATCAAGTCTCCGTTCTGCTACAGCCCCTTTCGTTCAGGTACCGACTCATGGAGCGTAGGCTGCGTCCAGGTGTTTGCTATGGTTTCCTGCTAACAGCGTCAGAATGCACTCCGTATTCGTTGCGCAAGGGGTCCTCATCCAAAGTGACTGGATGTCCATGATGAGGTCGAACTTTGCAGCTTCTAGCTCTTATTTGCCGATGCTACTGAGCCGATAGCTCTGTGCTCTATCAGTAGCAAAGACTGGGGCGATCATGGCGCTCTTGTCTACCGCTCTCATAGCAAGGTTCCTCTTAAAACTGTCGTAAGGCATAATAGTTGGGTTTGCTCCTTGATCTGTTTTGATTCTTACTTGATTATCCCGTTGCGCATTTGAGCTTCTGAAACGTCTTAGCTGAAGATCCTGATGTGTTCTTCAACATATGCAGATTTCGACACGAAGTTATTTTGACATATTGAAAATTGAATTTGAACCAAAGTTGGCCAGAAACGGGTCAACCCCGTGTCTTATCAATATTCAGAGCAGAGGCTCTTAGTGCACGATGAGACATGGATACCAACCCAGAATTCCGCACAAAATCGGGGACCTGAAAGGCCCTCTCGCCAAGGGCATGCATGGCAATCGCAAGAAGGGTTGGCGAAAGTGAAGGGTCAATAAGGTAACAGCCGTTCTCGCCATAGGACAACGATAACAAGGTGACGAACTGGTCGTTTGCCGCTTACTCAGTGAAAGATATGACAAGGTATGAGTGCCTTCCCGCCACCGTACTTTGATTAGGTAGGAGTGTCCTCCGCTACTCCACTTCGATTAGATAGGGTATCTCCCCCAAACTACATTTTCACTGCTCGAACGTATAAACAACTGTAGAAAGCGCTGACTAAGTACATTAGCTTACATGAGAAAAGCACAAACAGAGTCCTCCAGTAGGAGTTTCGATTGAGTAAACGCCTTTAGGGTTACAAAATGGATGAAATTGAAAACCTTGCTGAAGAGTGGCTGTATACGTTTTTCTACTACAAAGGATGGAAGTTCTCAAAACTTGGCAAACTTATCGTCCTCAACGTCTTGGCCAAATATCCTAATGTCATTCACAATTTTACTTCTTTCCTAAGAGTTGATATGAGTTTGAGCTGAATTGGAAAGTTCACGACTCTTGGAAAGACCTTTGTTAAACTGAAGCATAGAACAATCCCATGGACTACAACGTTTATAGCTATATGTATCAATATCCGATCTATAAAAAGAAACAAAGAATTTCGAAAGAAGGCGTGCATCTGCGAAAAAAATGATGGACGAATAACGGGTGACACATCCCCCGCACGGTCTGACTTGGCCTGCAAAGGGGAGATATATACCCCGCGCTGCCGTCAGAGTGTTGAAACAATATGTATGGGTGAAAGATTGCAATTGATGTGGATATGTTGAAGAAAAACTCTCTCGAACGCGTACCCTTCCCTGTCCAAAACGGAGTGCTGCTCAAATGGATAATGGGAGTAATGTTTTTTTTTGAATTTTTCTTCCCATCGCTCCTCACCCCCAACTTACTAAAAACGAATGCTCTCACGCACTCGTTTTTTATGGGGTTGGCCTTTGAAATTCATGTAAAGTTTAAGGAAGATCTCGCGACTGAGTACGTATCAATTACTGCGTCGTAACAGGATGTATTTTGGTGAGCAGTACGGCAGTGTATTCTGGTAAGCAGTACGGTAGCTGAAAAAGTAAAAATTCTGCGAAGAGTTTCTCAAATCACATTCCTCACCAACTCCATATCTATGGGACTGCACTCTGCCCCGATCGGTGTTTCATTAGTCACCACTCCTCTTGGTATTATGAAAAACGATGGAATAAGTAAAAAGTCTCAAGACATCCAATCAAATTCTCACAGAGGCAGGGACAGACGTCACCCACATGCTCGCAGTGCAGTATGGCAGTGACACTTAGTGTTTTCGGCAATGTTTTTGATTTTTTTTATTACTGGAGGAATAATGCCGGTAATAATTCTTTATTCGCAGGCAATATCCAACACCGCCTCTGTCGTAAGATTTGCCGTCAAGCTCACACAACAGTAATTGACGTTTTAAATTTTTTCTGGAAAAAACTGCAGCGATGACAGTGTGTAGCAGATGGAGAGAGTCCGTAAGGTATATAGCACTAATGACGATGCCGAGAAATTTAATTAATAAGTTTTCTGCCAAGGTGTGTTTAGCTGTTTCCTGCGGCAGTCTACTCAGCAATGTCTCCGACAGGGTTCAATTTAGGATGTAAGGTGGTAGAAATCACGATGAACATGGTTGTTTATCATATATACGAGATGCTGGCACTGAAATTCTTCCCTTTCTGTTTTTTTCAATTTGTGGTTTGTTTTCCTACCCGTCATTATATTTTTTCTTTGACTCATTTTTCACAGTGTGTCACTGATGTCTTGCCCTCCTAGTTAAAGACACTGTAAACAAAAGCGGAAGAAAAAGAATAATGTGGTAAACAAAAGAAACCGCGAAAAAACAATGATACAGTGGGAATTATAATTTTGGCAGAAACTCAAGTTCATGTAATCCAAGTTTTTCGTGACCACTATCGGCAATCCTCCTAACTATAAAGTAAAGCCTGACGCCGTCTGACAACTGAAGAAAAGAGACGACTGAAAGTTCACTCAACCGATTCATTTAATTTTCAATTTATTGATTGACATTTGATTTAAATTTTGAATAGAAGTATTTTGACTCTTGGGCTATGCTTTTGTGCTACGCAATCCTCTATTTCATTAATAGCGTAGTCCCACCACTCCGTGGTGATACGTGGAGATGTGGCATCAATTCTGAGGGATTTGCAGTCACCATTGGCTATTCTCTTGCCATTAATTGTATTCCGAGATGGCAGAACATAGCTACATCATGCAGCGGTATAGTCTCCATCTGTATAATATTGTGTCCGGGTTTCGAGTTTGGAAGAGGCGCAAACCGTGTGGCGAAGCTGCTCGTCTCAAACCTGGTCATCTCCTTTTTTCCTTAGCACTACTATTTATTTCTTATTACGTGAGTTACGTGTATGTGACAGCCGTCGTAACAACTAGCTCCAAGTAGATTACTAAATACCAGCCCTAATCATGTGCAGTGGACAATGTTTAGTCTCATCTAAAGGAGCGCCAGATCTGGCAAAGGGTCCTAGCTTAATCAAGTCTCTTTGCGCTTATATTTCACTAAATGCAATGTTCATGAATCTATTGTCTAATCAGTAGCTAGGTCACTAAATATAGTCTCTCTGTATTAGGAGTTAAATTTACGGTTCATCTCAAGGATCAGCTAGACCATGACGAACCCTAACCCCAGGGCAAGAAAGAGTGAAAAAGTCTGTGTCAATTAATCATTCTTTTTGCGCACTACCAAAATGCGTCTAAGCTAAAGAAAGGGTTACGGAGATAATCAGTGTATAATTTTTTTCTTCGCACACAAGTCCGGTACCAATTATGCGACCGTACAGGAAGGGATTTCTCGATCCGGACGGCGTACTATTCTTAATTTATTCCCTGTGGTTGTGCGCGTGGTGAGCTAGCCACATGCGCTTACCTCACTTTCGCGCCAACTCCAAGACAAATAATTTCAAAAATTATCAGACCTCTCCGTCACCGAAGTGTCTTGTTTCTCATCAAACTTGACGCTGACTAAATGAAGTTTCTTCCGCAGGAAGGATTTCTTCATCAACTTATCATCGAACACCGCTCAGAGAGAACGAGTTTAGAGGGGGGGGGGTGCTTGGTGCGGAGGTCGTTCAGGAAATAACACTCCATTCCGAAATTCCGTCCCCAGCTCACCCAGACTGTTCTATTCGAAGCAAATACTTCAGCGATTCTGAATAAACGTCGAATGTGTAACGCATTCTACAAAGGGTCGTTAACACCGATTTTTTTACCCCCGCCCTTCATCCTTTTCCATAGTATTCCACTTGCTATTGTTATAAGCTACAGTTTACACTCACTCTGCGTCAAATGATACCCAAATCCACGTTTCCGGAAACTCCGATCGTATTTGTATTTCTGCCGTCACCGGAGCACTCGGTGAAGGCGGCGGCGGTGGTGGTCCTGCCATTGGTGGTAGAGGCGGTCCAGCTAAGTCCATCACAGCGAAATTACCCTCGAACATGCCGCCACCGCCTCCGAACCCGAAATCCCACCAGAAAACTAGAGAACAACATCATTTCAACTGCAAATGATTCCATTTTGAAGCAAACAAGGTCGAGCTGTAGCCTTGCCTCAACTGAACAGAACTGATGTGGAAAGAGATTCCTGGGTTATAAACTCATACATGCGCCTGTATTCTTAACACTATTCCGGAGAATAGGACTGTATACTTACTTCAAATTTACCCACTGCAAGATTTCTGAGAATTCTTTGTGTTCAGAGTGGAACCTTCCGTCTAATAACTCACTCTGGAACGTCGATCCATACCCATCTTTCCGGAAACTGCGTTCGAAGTGCGATAGGTGAGAGTATTCCCGTCGTTGGAAATGCAAGAGGGGCGAAAGTGGTTGAGTATGAAGCAGTCGTGGGTATGAATGAATGGGACTTGCCCGATTTGTAGAATATCACTAAACCGTTAGTGTTATATGCTTAAGTTACCAAAGGCTCTGCGCCACTGTTGAAAGTGAGGCAGGAAGAAGAAAAAATAAGAAACATTGCCCAGCCTTCCCGATAAGACAAGCGTTAAGAAGCAAAAAAGTGCTTCTTGCCGAGCGCATAGATCTTGAGAAAGGATCAAGCCATAATAAAATGATCGATTCGTGAGAAACACCGGATTTCGCAACAACCTTGCACAACATCAAAACTCATTCGTACATCAATTGTAGATTTGGAGACGTAAAGTGAAGAGGGAGGGGTGACTCTTCTCATTCCCACAAGGACCACAATGAAGGCTTACCACCTTTCTTGATATTAAGAGCTTATGTGGGAACCTGTACGCATGTGATGGATCGTTGCCTCAGCAAAGAAGCATAGAAGTATATCATTGGGCACTAGATTTCCAATAAACAAAAAGCAAAAAAATTATGCGTTCCAAGTATGGCCATTTTTTGCAGTAGGATGGTCCGAGTGACAAACACTTTGAGGCCCGTATCAGTCTTTGCGAATCCTTGGATTCGCTAGCGAATAGTGATATACGAGTGTTACACATCAGCGGTTTGAACGATGTACCAGCAACTGGACAGCGATTGAAAGTGGCGGGAGTCTCTGTCGCTCTCTCTCTTGCCCTCCCGAGCCCGAGAAAGTGGAGAGTTTACGTGCAAATGAGACGGGCTTCCGCCCTTTTTGAAAACCTGTAGTTGCTGGTACTTGTGAACCGCTAGTATATCGTCGGAACTGCTGGTGGTGGCTCAACCGTTGCTACGTAATTCGAACCTATGGCGAGTCGTTCAAATGGTTGGTGCAACGCTCGTATCCCGCAACTCGCTAGCGAATCCACGGATTCGCAAAATCTGACACCGGCTCAAAAAACACTACCGCTGCAACTCAAACCAAATAACACCAGATCCTTCCAGCTCCAGATAGCTCGTTCTCCCTACGAATTTTCAGCTCATGCTCATGGTACTTCAAGCACACAGAATCTCCGACTACAAAGGCACACGTAAGATGAACCACAAAGCACCTCTCAACGGCTGCATTGAATTTGGGTTTGCCTTTCTTACAGAAGAATTCCTTGTCCATTCACTTCCCTTTTCACAAAAGTGCACATATGCCGCAAGATAAAATGGCCTTACTTGCTAAAGTGATCAAGCCACAACCATGTTTCGGGAAAATTGCGACGAATCATCAACTGTGGCGACGGAGCAACCGCGCCACCAGTTGCAAAGGCAACTGGTGCTGGAGCCATTACGGGCGTGAAAAATACTCGCGCTGGAAAACTCATTAGGTAGGACTTTCATGTATGCTCGATAACAGAGACGTGGACATCAACATAGGAAGGGATGTGCATTGATTTCAAGTTGACAGTACGTCCGAAGAAGACGGCCTCTGCCTAAACGGCGACAGACAAAGCGTACCGTAACCAGGCGGACGCCCAAAACGCTGAACCGTGAACAATGAGTGCAAAGTGAGCCTGCGTTCGCTGGACCTATGCGTTAATCAAAACCAAGAATTAAACTTTGTACTGTTCAGAGCCCCAACCAAAACAACCCAACTGTGATTAGGAACAGAAAAAAATTAATTTAAAGTCTAGATCGATTCGCAGTCATTCCATGTAAAAATGTTATTTTGAGGAAGCGTAATTGGGAAAAAATAAATATGTGATTGGTTGACACTTTCACATCAACACGAAAGAAGAGGCTGTTAGCGCAGGGACTGTACGTTTATAGTTATTCAGCGCTTCAGCATGAAACAGAGATCCTGGAATCCGGTAAAAAGAGTAAATTAATGCAACAATATAGCGCACGTCGTACATGGGTTCTACCTTGCCGTAGTGAACGAGCTTGAGGCGCGATTGGATACGCCAGGATAGGGTGGCGCAAAACCTTATACCGATTTCCGCGACTAAAGTACCCAAAGTGCCCAAACCCTTGGTGGGACGGAGCTCTGCTTGAGCAACGGGAACGCCCCGGTAAGGCTATCCCGTGAAGCAAAATACCACGACTACTTCTTACTGCGAACAAAGTGGAGTTCGCAGTGCATCCTGATGCAAGTGTTGAGACCCTTCTTTCTACAGAGCGATCAGGCTGCTTATGTGATTATATATGTATCGCTTACAGTCAATTACTTTTCGAGATGAAAATCGAGTGTATGGCTATTTCAAGATGCGTCTCTTCCGAGCTTTTGAAGTATTTTAAGAGCCGAGTTAAAAGTTTCTTCAGTCTTGGGTGAAGCTATATTTGAAATCAAGTTCTAATGAAGAAAAACACGCGAAGTCGCGCTTTCCGCTCGATTTTTTGAAACTTCACGACGATTACCGACATTGCACCCAAGGTGAACTCGGTCGAGGATTCCTAAGAGGTTCGTCAAGGATTTTTGCGTGATCAGTTGCGCTCCCCGCGTAGACATTCGCACTCGCCGAGCTCTAGCCGTCTGTGCTCTCCGCGCGGACGTTTTCTCTCGGCACTACCTCACACAGTAGAGGGCCATGGTCAAGGATTTCCTCGACCGTTATCCACTGTGGTCATTACAAAGAATCTCTCAACGGCGAAAAATGGGCCAAAAGGAGAATAGGATAAATGGTTGATTGACTGGGATGCTCTTTAAGTTCCTCCAACCTAAGAGATAAGAAGTAATTTGATAACGAACTCGACGTCGCATTCATTCCAAATCCATGTTTCCGGGAACGCCGTACGTACGATGATCGAGCTCGCTGGTGGATTGAGTTCAGCGAGATGGTCAATGACGACAGCTGCTTTCGACATCTGGGCCATTTGTAGGAACACTATGAACATTCAGTGTAAGACAGGGTTCATGGGGTACTGAAGGCAGTGCTGGCGCGATTTGGCGATAGGTGGGAAGTGTGATGTAGGGGGAGAAAACAGCGGTGTTCGGTGATGAGCATGCTGGGTGTAGGGAGTAGGCGATAATGGGTGAGCTGGAGAGCTGCACATTCTACATACCGTACTGATTCTTATCCAGCGCTGTGTGCCTGCAGAGAAGCTTCTTTCAATCCACCGATTTAAGCGTGCCACGAGGAAATGGTGTAAAAAGCTATAGAAAATCAGAGTATTTACCTAAGTTAAGCGAGGGAAGGCCCAAGCGAATTTGGTTTTTCAAAGATTCAAGTAGTAAGCCGGGAGTATCAATTTTTTGAGAGGAACAATGCCAGAGAAAGAGATTTAGAGGTACTAGCTGTCCCATGGACATCGAGGCTTTTACATGAGTGTGTGTATGTGAGTGACTCAACTCAGAAGTGTTAGGTGCACAAGCCAGGCAAAGCAGCAAATTCGGACGGTAGTTTCACGCTCACAACATAAAATAATCGTTAACGTAGTGATTAAGTCAGTATTAGTAACAGATCTTTGTACCGGAAAATCGATACGACATGCAAACAACCGTGGAACGTTCAGTAGCTCTCAATGCTTTAAAGGATACATCCCGTGGAGTAGCGCGCCACCTTATTCTTGGAAGTGGTGCATGAGTCTTGTAGCGCAGTGAAAAGCTGAGGATAACTGGACGAGTTGTCGCGCCGGTGGGACGCAGAAGTTGATGGCACTGATCGCTTCACCTCAGCCGGGTGATGAGTCCTCAAAACTCTGCGTCTCTATTGGTCAGTGAGTCGAGAATAATGGGATGCGTCCAAGGATGCAAACTTGAGAGTTTGAGAGTGTTTTGGGGACTCGTCCCCGGGCTTGCTGCTTCTGGCCCCGCTCGCTTCAGCCTTTAGCCGCGCGGCAATGCTCATGCACTACACCCCATCTTTTAGCCACAGCTAAGCGCGGATTATCACAAATGTCGGAATTCTCTTTGGGGTTGATCCACCTTTGCGCTTTATCCGCTGTTAGGCCGATGTCAGACTTTGCGAATCGAGGGATTCGCTGGCGTCCGCGGTCGCACTGCGGTACCAGCCAAACAGGCGATTCGCGGTACGCAAACGCTAGCGAATCGCTGGATTCGCAAAGTCTGATATCGACCTTAGCGGTACAGCTTCTATCGAGAGCTCGATCGTTCCACTGTTGTTATCTGACCGACCAGAACTCCTTATTCAGGATCCTGGCAGACCAGATTATACCGTAATATCAACGCACTTGGCGGATCTGGCTGTCGGTATAGATATGCGTCTGTCAGAACAATCAAGCCGGCATTCTGAAAACACCAGTCTCATGGTGGGGCTGATCGACTAAGTAAGTACTCAGTCCGCAATATTTGAGATGGAAAGCAATAGAAAATTCAAATCATAGAGAATCCTGAACAAACTCACTTCAAAAATACTGGCTGCATCTTTTCCACCAACACCCCACCATGGATTCCATATGGACCGCTTAAATTATTGCTTATTGAAACTGCTATAGAAAACTGAGGGCATTTTCCATGAGAACAACATTGGGGGGATCAAACAGGTGCTCGTGACCATTCAATGAAGAGTGAGCTTGGAACAACTGTCGAAAACTCCGTGAATAGACCCCTTTTCGCTCTTCAAAAGAGACATGAGATAGCGTACCTTTCTCCTCCTCTTGTCGATCGCTCCTTCCCATGGACGAAATCCGCCACCACCCTGATAACCAGTAGTATCGTATTCCTCGATATCCGACTCAATCTGTAACAAATATATGATATTAAAAGCTCTGTACCGACTAGAAAAGTCTTTCACATACCAACTGCGGTGTAATGTCATTTCCAGACTTTTGAAGAAGTACAGATTGGTCGAGCACGAGAAGCCCAACATACGATTCAGGGTCGGCCGAAACTTTGAATGACACTGATTCACCGGGTTCGACGGACGACTTGTCGATGGTGAGTGTAACCTGTAAAATTATGAGAACTGTCCATGCACACCATTCAAGGGCATAATATAAAAATACACAGATCAGCAGATTAGCAGTAGAAACTAGCACCCAAGAGAGAGTACTATGCAAAAACCGCAGAGGAACGCGGACGCACCGATAAATGAGTTGAAGCACAGCCGCTGCTATAGCAATCCCCGCAGGACAACTCATCCTTTGGACATTTGCGCGGTGCGGTGGTGTCTATCAGTGATTGAATAGTGGCCATAAAAGATCCATCCTTGGCTTGGCCGCTCATTTTCTATCAATCCGCAGCATACTGACGTCTGGGCCTCTCCGCGTAGACATGCTCCTTGTACTATCTCTCCCTTTCGCAGTCGGTCTTTAGTCGCTCCGTCGTACCAACAGTTAACCTCGTAAAAGTTCAGCATTCCTTTTTATCTGATGAAGAGGCGATGGAGTGCTGGAACAAAATTGGGCGTCGAGCGAGACACACGATTGAAGCGAGGAGAGAAACCGAACGACCGCGCTGCACGTAAAGCGTACCACACTGTCTCTCTTTTTGTCCAACTCGCTTAAGTCGTAAAAGTTCAGAATGAGAATCAACTCTTCAGTGAAAGAAGTCCCTGTTCGTTAGATAGAGTACTAAGGTTATCGTAAACTTGCTACAGTGTATGCGCGCATCTTTACCTTCAAATCCGGTTCACAAATACACGAGGCCTGAGGGATTTAAATCACCTCCCGCTCACAAATTACAGTATCATCGCTCACATATTCAGAAAAAACTTTAAACATTATCCATGTCCTGATGTCTTCGTGCTGTTTGCTTTTCTACTCGAACGTTCGTTTCCCTCTCAGGCGCTCACATCACCTCTTATTCGCTCTCTGCCAATCCACTTCTGAGCAAGAGGTTCCCTTCTTCTTTTCGGAGCTTTGATGATTACATTTCCTTCTTCATTCTCTACTTGCGTACACCCGCTTCTCTATTCAAATTACGTGCAGTTACGAAATGAATTTAAACCGGGGCCTACGCCTTTGAAGTCGCAAAAAAAACACTTCTGAGTTCGATCTGCTAAATTATTCAACTGACTGTAAAATCACTCAAATGAACTAATTAACAGAAACTGTTGACCACCAAGACCAGCTTGCGTCGTTGCAGCCGGCCCGTCTTTTTTAAGGGTCGAGCAACATCACGCAAAAAAAGCGATGCTCTGCAGTACACTCACATTTATTATCGAAAGACCAGCAACTTTGAAATCAGTCGCGTCCACCAATCTATTGATTCCAGAGCGAACAGCGTATGCTATCAGTCTTTGAATTTCGGAGCCATCTGAAATAGCGAATAGTCCTCCGAGAAGAATCATCAATGCCAGTATATAAGGTATCAACAATCCGAACCCATTCCTTAACCACCAACAAAAAACTCCGTTGAAGATCACTTCGAGAGCCACCCAGAGAACGAATAAGCATTAGCCCTATTTCGTGCTTGAAGGAAACTCGGGTGTGTGTCGAGTTTACTGGATTTCTCTTTAGATTTCTGCACCAAACCGCTCCTGGTGACATCACCTAGAATTCAAATTATGTATTTTTTTCGCGTTCGATTTTTCCAATAGGGCAGATCAAGGTGGACTAAGCGTATCATTAACCTGTAGGTTGAGCACTTCTGGTTATCGGTCGCTTGCCTTTTATTTAACCTGAGAACGACAGCGTTTTGCTCATACGTCTAACTGTTTTTTTTTTTTTTTTTTTTATCGCGTTTCATTGTCGGGCGTCTTATATTGAATGGAAAGAGTTTTCGACACGTGATTTGCCTGGCCTCTTTCACATAAAGGCTTGACTATAATGAGCTTGCGATTTTGAGTTTATTGGTCCTTGTTCACTTGGTGCGATCGTAGGACAATTGCAGCCCGAATAATCTGACTGAATTTGCTGAATTGTCGTTAACACGAAGATCAATTGAGACTCATGAATTTTATTTATTTCGAATTTTCCGCTCAAAAGAATGTTACAGAAGTATTTCAATAAGCTTCAAATGTTAAACATTTCCTTTATTTTGGCGTATGCTACTTTATTGTAAGTTCGTGCGCAGATCTAATTGTCTAATGACACTCATAAGCTCCGAGATAAATCCACTGAAGTAAATTCATCCTATAGGATAGAAAAGGATCTTCGTTGATCGTTCTTTTCAACTGTTTGCGCTCAGCTGCATCCGTAGTCGATTATAATGCGTACGAGTGACCTAGCGGCCTTACGGCTGACTGCACTGTGTCAGCTTATTTGCACAGGCAGTTTAGTAGTGAAAGCGTACTTTGTTCAGTAACATCACTGGTTCCTGCTACCTCTGTTGAGCTCTCTGTACTTTCTGGGCTTGCATTTGTTCGTATTTCCGTCTACGAATTCTATATACCGCTCTGCCGTCCCCAGTATGCCATTATTATCACGGTACTCTTCAAAAGCTTGAGCACTTCTCTACCTTCGTGTTTCTATAGGATTCTTTTGCTTTTGTTTCAAGCATTATGACCCTTTCTCTGTAAGATCTCTTTCACGTTTCAAGTGTAGCTTTCAAGTGTATCTAAGATTAAGACATGTATCCTTTTATGGTGCGCATGCTTCCGTAACTTCAATCCACGCGATATAATCATTCGCTTTGAGCTCTTTCAGATGTTTATTCGTGTGCACTTGCTCGAGTTGTCATCAGTTTATTCTGTCGTGGCTCAATCATGCTCTTTCTTCAGTTATCTCGGTTTTCTCTGCGTGGTCTCTTCTCTAACGATAAAGACATGTGTCTGTATGTTGTAGGTGTGTAACAATAAAGAAACTAAATTCTCTACTTTGGATCCCTTCTGTAGATCTTTCGCCTATATCCCTCGTGCGTTCGTTCATGCAACACGGAGGTGTTAGGATGTATCGCCTGCTGCGTCCCCTGCTGGCTTCGGAGTCGCGCTACGTAAGGACCGGTACTCGGCATGCGACGATCAGCCTATCTCGTTGCTCGTCGCGTCGCTTGACAATCCCTCCGACCGCAAGAGACCGAGATTCTCATTTGGTTTTGAGATTCGTGGATCTCGCCTATGCGAATGCGCTTGCGCCAGCGAATCGAGATCGTCATTTTGGATTCATGCTCAAAATGCGAGTTATCAGAATACTCTCGGATATGCCGCTCAACGGATTGAAACACCGATGTACATTATCAGGCGAGTCGAACTTTACGGTAAATTTCCCAAACCACTCACATTACACCTGACTCAGTAGTTTGGCGGTGCCCCAACTTCCAAAAGAGGTGCCCGGCCATCATTGAAACGACGTGCCACCCGTAGATCAATGGTCACTCTTGTTTCGTACAGTGCGATCTGAGAGCCGCTTGACAGTGGCCTTCTGCTTCGACAGTGACCTGAGACCCTTACTTTAAACGCTGGGTCCCGCCACTATGATTCATGCTGAATACCTTAGTTCGACTCGCCGTACCCTCGTCGATCTCGCTGTCCACAAAGTTTCGATGCTCGCTGTGCCCATCGTTCGATTCGCAAACTATGACATCGGCAATAAGGCGTTGCCCCGAGAAACCAGGGTAGTCACCAACTGCAGTCGCTGCCTAAATGGTAGCGTCGCACGCTGGAGGTTCCGCTCGGGCGCCCGAATACCGTAACCCGCCGTGGCGCTGGAGCGGCTGCGAGGGGAACAATATAAGCCTGTAACTTGCACTCCCTTTATCCAGGAGCTTGCCTACGAAGTCGATAATAAATTCTATAAGTAAACCTTAACTGGTATTAGGTTGTAGGGAAAGTTCTCGCGGTTTTCCGAAGCACGTTGAGCTCTGGTTGAGCAACTTTTTTGAATCGAAGCCAGAAAAGTTCTTTGCCGAGGGCATCAAAAGTCTGCCCGAAAAATGGCGAAGAGTGATAGAACGTGATGTATGACGCGCGCGAGCCGTCCGCCGCAACTAAGATATTCTGACGAGCACCTGTCTCGTGATAGCGTTTATACTCGGTCAGTATTTAGTTACTGCAGCTGACCCTACCGTACCGGCGGCAGTCATATTATCGTAGTAATGGTTTCCCCCAAAGGAAATGGTCTGGCGGAGTTGTAAAGAATTCCCAACTGTTCATATTCCGGTCGGCATTTTGGTTAAACTACATTTATAGTGAGCTCTGAATAAATTACCTCAATTCTAGCACTGGTGCAATTAAGAGGAGGCTGTAATGCTAGTACGGTAGTTCCATGAGCATCCAAGTCGACGATCTTCACTTCCTTATCTTCGTGCTGAGTTGGTGAATCCGGGTTGAACGGATAATTATAGAAGGTTGTAACCTGAAAAAGTGCAATTTTCAAACAATGACGGTCAGTGAGGAAACCAGTTGGAAATAGTAGCAATAGAAGTGCTTCATGATATCAACACAAAAGTAAAGAGCATTAGGTGGAAGGGATTGGTTCATAAAAGACCGTGTGCGTAAAAGTAATAGTAGCCATGAGGATACTCTTGAAAGTTTTCATTTTTGCATGATGAAATGCGGACCTCGTTAAGAGACGAATGATGGGTTAAAGGCAGCGTGCACGGGAACAATTTGGTCCCATTTTCACCAAAAGCCCATTGTTCAACGCGACTAAAAAAAGCGGCGAAAAAGTTATGGCGATTTCGACCAAAATCTGAAGGAGGTTGAATCTATTCTAAGGAATTCGTGCTCCTGCCATAAAACTGGCACAACAGGTGGCAGTGGCGAGCTTTTACGTGTAAGTATGCTGAAGATGGTAACTTGAACGGATTTGACGTTAGTTCCTGCCCCGCCCCTTCTACCAACAGCTGTCCTGGAGAAGAATTTCCTAAAAGCTGTTCTCTTCGGAGCATATATTTTTGGCCAGATATTTTGCAAGTGGTTCTATGTACCCACACAAAACACTCATAAAAGTGAAGAAGAATTCAGTTTGTCATGCTTGATGCCTTGAAGTCTAGCATAATGAAGTGTTACCTGCACACGACGTGGTACGTTTGCTTTCACTGGTGTGTCATCCATTTGCTTCAAAGCGACCACTACGTTATAGGTGAGACCGGGCTTGAACGTGTCACCTTGTTTTTCCACGTCCAATTTCACATCGTAGCGATATGTGGAAATCTGAATAAGTGTACTCAAGAATGATGATTGTTCATCTTTATCGCGCCACGCATTAGACTGCCATTCAGAACTTAAGCAATGTGGGGGTTTGTCTCACGGTGGATCATAGAAAATCACGAGTTTTCAGAGCGGCAAAACACCGAAAATTCATTGTAAGGTGATGAACCACCAGGAAAGGAGAGACACCTGAGAAGCCTTAAAGTCCATTTATGGCCTGGCTTAGAGATTCGAGCCCAAAAATCACGCCAGCATAATTAGGCGATTTCTTTCTGATTTTTTCATTTAGTGACCCGCTTTCCCTGCAAAGCATTGACAGAGTAGATTTGGCCCAAAACTGCTATTTCAATTTGTATGGAGTTGGTTCAATCGCGATTCAAGTTTGGATTGTCACCAGTGATGCCATTCCGTAAAGTGCAAACAACGGAGAGCGCAACAAGGACCAGCTAAGACCGGCCTGTCTAGCACTAGATATTAGTCTGTTCGGAAGATGGCGCTAACCAAGCGCATACGTCGAGCCCTATCTGCAACTAGTGGTCTCTCTTCTTGTTAGAGTGGCGCATACACGAGTT